TTACAGAGACAGGGCATAGGGATGAGGGGTTATAGAGACAGGGTACAGGGATGGCGGTTAGAGAGACAGGGCATAGGAATGGTGGTTACAGAGAGAGGGTACAGGATGGGGGTTACAGAGACAAGGCACAGGAATAGGGGTTACAGAGACAGGGCATAGGGATGGGGGGTAACTGAGACAGGGCATAGGGATGGGTGGTAACTGAGACAGGGCATAGCAATGAAGGGCTACAGAGACAGGGCATAGGGATGGGGGGTAACTGAGACAGGGTACAGGGATGGGGCTTACAGAGACAGAGTACATGAATGGGGGTTACAGAGACAGGGCATAGGGATGGGGGTTACAGAGAGAGGGTACGGGGATGGAGCTTACAGAGACAGTGCATAGGGATGGGGGTTACAGAGAGAGGGGACAGGGATGGGGCTTACAGGGACAGGGCATAGGGATGGGGGTGGTGAGAGAGACGGGGCATAGGAATGGGGGTTACAGAGTGAGGGTACAGGGATGGGGGTTACAGAGACAGGGCAGAGGGATGGGGGTAACAGAGACAGAGTACAGGAATGCGGGTTACAGAGACAGGGCATAGGGATGAGGGGTAAGAGAGGCAGGGTACAGGAATGGGGGTAACAGAGACAGGGTACACGGATGGGCGTTACAGAGACAGGGCATAGGGATGTGGGAAACAGAGACGCAGCACAGGAATGGGTGTAACAGAGACAGGGTAGAGGAATGAGGGTTACAGAGACAGGGTACAGGGATGGGGGATAGAAATACAGGGCATAGGGATGGGGGTTGCAGAGAGACGGTACAGGAATGGGGATTACAGACACAGGGCATAGGGATGGGGGTTACATAGAGAGGGTACAGTGATGGGGGTTATAGAGAGAGGGTACAGGGATGGGGGTTACAGAGACAGGGCATAGGGATGGGGGTAGGGGTGACAGAGACAGGGCATAGGATTGGGGGGGTGACAGAGACAGGGTACAGGGATGGGGTTACAGAGACAGGGCATAGAGATGGGGGTTACAGAGACAGGTTACAGGGATGGGGGTTACAGAGACAAGGCACAGGAATCGGGGTAACTGAGACAGGGCATAGGGATGGGGCTTTCAGAGACAGGGCATAGGGATGAGCAGTTACAGAGAAAGGATACAGGAACAGGGGTTACAGAGATAGGGCATAGGGATAGGGGTTGCAGAGAAAGGGTACAGGGATGGGAGTTACAGAGACAAGGCACAGGAATGGGGGTAACTAAGACAGGGTATAGGGATGGGAATTACAGTGATAGGGTACAGGAATGGGGGTTACAGAGCCAGGGTATAGGAATGGGGGTTACAGAGACAGGGCATAGGGATGGGGGTAACAGAGACAGGGTACAGGGATGGGGATTACAGAGACAGGGCATAGGGATGGGGGGTAACTGAGACAGGGCACAGGGATGGGGTTTACAGTGACAGGGCATAGGGATGGGGGTTACAAAGACAGGGCATAGGGATGGGGTTTACAGAGAGAGGGTACAGGGAAGGGGGTTACAGAGACAAGGCACAGGAATGGGGGTAACTGAGACAGGGCATAGGAATGGGGTTTGCAGAGACAGGGCATAGGGATGGGGGTTACAGAGACAGGGCATAGGGATGGGGGTAACTGAGACAGGGCATAGGGATGGTGGTTACAGTGACAGGGCATAGGGATGAGGGGTTACAGAGACAGGGTACAGGGATGGGGGTTACAGAGGCTGGGCATAGGAATGGGGGTTACAGAGAGAGTGTACAGGGATGGGGGTTACAGAGATGGGGTACAGGACTGGGGGTTACAGAGGCAGGGCATAGGAATGGGGGTAACTGAGACAGGGTACAGGGATGGGGGTTACAGAGACAGGGCATAGGGATGGGGTTACAGAGACAGGGCACAGGAATGGTGGTAACTGAGACAGGACATCAGGATGGGGGTTACAGAGACAGGGTACAGGAATGGGTGTTACAGAGACAGGGCATAGGGATGAAGGGTTATAGAGACAGGGTACAGGGATGGGCGTTACAGAGACAGGGCATAGGGATGAGGGGTTACAGAGACAGGGTACAGGGATGGGGGGTAACTGAGACAGGGCATAGGGATGGGGGTTACAGAGACAGGACGTAGGGATGAGAGGTTACAAAGACAGGGTACAGGGATGGGGGTTATAGAGACAGGGCATAGGAATGGGGGTTACAGAAACAGGGCATAGGGATGGGGGGTAACTGAGACAGGGCATAGGGATGGGGGTTACAGAGACAGAGCATAGGGAGGGGGGTTGCAGAGAGAGGATACAGGAATGGGGGTTACAGAGACAGGGCATAGAGATGGGGGTTACAGAGAGAGGGTACAGGGATGGGGCTTACAGAGACAGAGTACATGAATGGGGGTAACTGAGACAGGGTACAGGGATGGGGGATACAGAGACAGGGCATAGGGATGGGGGTTAATTAGAGAGGGCACAGGGATGGGGCTTAAAGAGACAGCGCATAGGGATGGGGGTTACAGAGAGAGGGTACAGGGATGGGTCTTACAGAGACAGAGTATAGGAATGGGGGTAACTGAGACAGGGTACAGGGATGGGGGATACAGAGACAGGGCATAGTGATGGGGGCAACAGAGAAACACAGCACTCAAATGTGGGTTACAGACACAGGGCATAGGGATCGGGGTTACAGAGACAGGGCATTGGGATGGGGGTTACAGAGAGAGGGAACAGGAATGGGGGTATGTCAGACAGGGTACAGGGATGGGGTTTACAGAGACAGGGCATAGGGATGGGGGTAACTGAGACAGGGCATAGGAATGGGGGTTACAGAGACTGGGCATAGGAATGGGGGTAACTGAGACAGGGTACACGAATGGGGGTTACAGAGACAGTGCATAGGGAGAGGGGTTGCAGAGAGAGGGTACAGGAATGGGGGTTAGAGAGACAGGGCATAGGGATAGGGGTTACAGAGACAGGGTACAGGGATGGGGGATACAGAGGCAGGACATAGGGATGGGGGTTAAAGAGACAGGGCATAGGGATAGGGGTTACAGAGACAGGCCATAGGGATGGGGGTTACAGAGTGAGGGCACAGGGATGGGGGTTACAGAGAGACACAGCACAGGAATAGGGGTAACAGAGACAGGGTTACAGGAATGGGGGTTACAGAGACAGGGCATAGGGATGGGGGTTACAGAGACAGTGTACAGGGATGGCGGGGGGGGTAACAGAGGGACTGAAGGAGACTCTGCCCTTGCGCTCTACATGACTGCAGTCCAACAGTAGTGGTGACTCTTACCACCCTGAGAAAGGAGCAAGGGTAGAGACTGGCGCTATCACAGGGTAGTGAAAGGTCTTGTCAGAGACATGTTTGTTGTTGAGGAGCAGCGAGAACAGGCTGATCCCTATTCAGAGACAGGCCATAGGGATGGGGGTTACAGAGAGAGGGTACAGGAATCGGCGTTACAGAGACAGGGCATAGGGATGGGGGTTACAGAGACAGGGCACAGGAAACGGGGTAACAGAGACAGGGCATAG